ACTCTTAGAGCTAGAATGAACAAGGAACTAAAGGGAAAAGCTACCAGCTGCATGCAACCAGTAAAGTGGCATGCCCTAGATTCAAAGACAGTGGAGGAGAAGGGGGAAAACGACTTACCAGTAGGAATGAAGAAAACGTTCGACTCAAAACGGAGCTCCCGACTCTGGGAACGCGGGGACGACACCTAAATGACAATGCAATGGCTGGTGCAGTGTGGAAATTAGAGAGAAGATAGAGGAAGAAGAAGAAGCTTTCTATAGAGAGGAACACTTTTAAGAAAATGAGTTCAGCTTCTTTTTCTAAAAGTTTAGCAGAAACTATAAAACTGTTTTCTTTTTAATAAAAAACCACTCCCCTTTTTCTTAATAATGTTTTCATCTCATCCTCATTTAATATATACATATATATTTTTAGGTTCTTAATGATTATTTTATACAAATTTAAAATTAATTTATTTGTGCTCTTAATCCATTATTCTTAAAGAATATGTATAAATATTAGTTTTATAAAAGACTATTCAAGATAAATTTTGAATTGTAATCATATTTTAAATATATAATTTTATTATTTTGAAAAGTTAAAAATATAACATGTTGAATTTATTTAAACTTAAAAATAAAGTAATTTGGAAAAAAATTGTTAAAAGAAATTATTAGTAAAAACACATTTTCTTTTAATTCTTTGATGTTTTTAAAATTTTTATGAATTTATTTTGATAAACTATTTAAAAAAATATTTATAAATAACTTTTTAACTTATTTTAAGTTTTGACATCTAAAATATAATAAATATATTTAAGTTTAAAAAAATATTTATTTTTGAAAAGAATCATTCATTACAAAAATTAAATAAATTATTTATTTTTATAAAACATGCTATATAACATAAACATTTTTTATATTAAAATTGAATAAAATTACACACCATTTTATAAAATTAAAAAAGTATAAGAAATTAGATATTAATACAATTATGATTAAATTATACTTAAACTAATATATTAAGTTAATCAGAATATTTTAAATATTATTAAAAATAAAATAATTAACAGTTTAAACCTGGAACTAACCAAACTTTTTTAATAAAATAGTTTTTTAATCCTATGGGTTTTCTTTTGATCCTAATCGGATCATATGAGAAGGGTTAATTTGACCATCAAATGGAAATATATGTAAGTATATGCGGACGGTGGGTGAAGAAGCATAGGCAAGGGTTTTAGGGGTTTTTGGAGGTTTTAAGCACAGCATAACATAACATCTGTTCTCCCTTTGCGACTCAACCACCATGTCCACGCCTGCGAAGGAAGCTCCGAAGGACCAATCCGATGCGGAAGCGCGGGATCTGCCTCCCGATCCGGCAGGTTCTGAGTCCCCCGAAGCAGAGGAAGAGGAAGAAGAAGGAGAGTGCGGGTTCTGCCTCTTCATGAAAGGGGGCGGCTGCCGCGACGCCTTCACCGAATGGGAGAAGTGCGTCCAAGAAGCCGAGACCAACAACGAGGACCTCCTCGAGAAGTGCGCCTCCATCACCGCCGCCTTGAAGCAGTGTATGGATGCTCACTCCAGCTACTACGAGCCCATCCTCCGCGCCGAGAAGCTCGCGGAGGAACAGGCCATCGTTGAATTGGAAAAGGAAAACTTAGTTTCCCGGGAAGACCAAAAGTGAGACTCACCCCACCCTCGTTTATTTACTTTCTCACAATAATTGGAATGCCTAATGTTCTCTTACATTGGTCTTAGTTTATGTTTCCTTCACCACAAAAGTCTGTGTGCTCTATGCCCGTTTAGCTCTAGGCTACCCAATATTTCAGTTACTGAATGTCGCGTTAGGTTTCCTTCTGTTGGTTAAGATCACTTCCTTATTCTCAATTAAGATCACTTCTGTTATTAAGAAGTGAGAATAAGTAACTTCACTTTCTTATTCTCAGTTAAGAGCTGTTGGTTAAGATCATTTTTCCGACTTATAGTTGCGCTTAAGAGAAGAAAATAAAGAGGTAAACGTGGCTGCAATTGTATCACAGTGCCTCACTTGTCTGAAATTGCTGTCACAAACGGTTATTTAGAACTTTATATCTTTGCTTTTTTGGGAAGTAAGATGAGAGAACTTTTGAAACGGTTGAGATGGGTAAATTAATTTTGACTTAAAGAAAGTGGATGTATTTTTTCTTGTTGGCTTTTCTTCTCCTTATATAAGTACTTCTTGGAAGTTTGTCTGCTCAACTCATTTAACTTTAATAGAGGTAAAAATCTAATGTTGATTTTAGATTATGAAAGAGGTTTGATTCATTTTACTTTTTACGCAGATTATTCAAATTGAAATTCTCATTCTTTTCCTTGCTTTAACTCTGTAGTTCTGTTGTAATTTCATTTCCATATTTAAATAAATAAATAGTTTGGCTTTGATTAAATGTTAATGCACGTAACTTGTAGCCGGTTTGTTTTCACCAAATATCTTGGTGTATACAGTGCTGGTGAAAAAAATTCAAGTTTCTAACCTCAATTCTGAGGTTAGTAGAGTTAGTTTGAAGGAAAGTAAATCTTTTTAGCCTTTGTTGATTGTATGTAGCTCTTAAAATGTGCCTACATTTTCACTTTAAAGTTGATTAACTTTATCCTCCAAACAAAATCATTTTAAATTCAACTTTTAACGTACCATTCTCAAATGCAGATCACAGAATCTAACGTCAGTTTGAAATCAATTATATCAATGTTAATAATAATGCCTCTAAGATCTTAACAAAATGAACTTTTAGTTTACGTGAGACTTCCAACACACCCTCCTCACGTCGAGATATATCTTGAGCGCGAGACTAGACATTAATGGATAGTCCGATAGTGGTCCGATAGCAGGTGTAACAATATGTTTAACAAATAGCACTAGAATAAGTTCTAACCTAGTTTTGATACTATATTAAGAAGTGAACTTTAAGCCTAACTCAACCCCACAAAACTGACTTGTAAGGTGAGGATTGCACTCACTTATATACTATTAATTGACCTTATCAAGATGTGGGACTTCCAGTTGGGGATAAAAATATAACGTTTGAGTTACTGACCTTAGAAGTAGATGAAGTTTGAAGCTTTGGATATTTGAATTACAGATCTTCTATAGTGAAATTTAAAATATTAGAGCTGTATATGATGCTCACATGATTACTACAAATTCATTCTCAGGATTGATCATGTTGTTGAGGAAGTGGTCACCATTGAGTTGTTGAAGGAAAACCAAAATTTGTCGCCTAATGAATCCCAAGCTCCTCCTCCTTCTAGTCAAGATCCGAAGTGAGACATCATTTTATTCCCCTTTTTTGGTTCTCTTAACCTGCTGTCATACCTGTACTGCCAATGCAAATAGATTACAGACATTTGTAACTCATTCATTTTTGTCACAATAATTAGCATGACAAATATTTTCTTGGATTCAAAGCTGTATCAATTTCCAATTTTAAACTTGCGATATGGTTCTGGTACTGACCTGAGAAGTAGATGAAGTTTGAACCTTTGGATATTTGAATTACAGATCATCTATAGTGAAATTTAAAATATTAGAGCTGTGTATGATGCTCACATGAAAACTACAAATTCATTCTCAGGACCGATCATGTTGTTGAGGAAATGGCCACCATTGAGTTGAAGAAGAACCAAAATTTGTCCCAAGCTCCTCCTCCTTCTAGTCAAGATCCAAAGTGAGACATCATTTCATTGCCCGTTTTTTGTTTCTCCTAACCTGCTGTCATACCTGTACTGCCAATGCAAATAGATTACAGTCATTTATAACTCATTCATTTTTGTCACAATAATTAAAATGAAAAATATTTTATTGGATTCAAAGCTGTATCAATTTCCAATTTTAAACATGCGATATGGTTGTGTTGTATCGGATTTTATTTTACTGTCTGGTCAGTGATTCATCATGCCATAGTAACGAAAGCGTGTGATGTGTCTAGTTCTATTTAGTTTGATCCACTCTAGGATAACAAATATTCAGTGACCGCATGTGACATTGGGATTCTTGCTTAATGTTTGTGTTATAACTTTATATTGGTGGGAATGTTTTTGCCGTTGATTTGCAGAATTAAAATGTGCTAGAGCTAGTAGTGAAAAAGAAATGAGAAACTTCTTGACTTCCAGATTCTTAATCAAGAGCTACTTTGGATGATTTGATTATAGTTAGTCATAGAATGAATAAATTTTTTCAGAAATTATAAATAGCTTATGTATGTTAGTAAGGTTGTGAATTGTGATCGCAGTTTTCCTGCGGTCATTGTTGTGGGGAATTGTGGTTGTATTGACGCCAAAAATCTTAATGACGTAGTTGAAATTGCAGTTGCGAACTTGTTTTTGAAATCTTGTATCTGAGCTTCTTGAGAAGAAAGAAAGATAAGGGGAGCTTTTAAAAAGGTTGAGATGGAAAATTTTCTTTTTAAGTTCAAGAAGAAAATGATTTATTTTACTCAGGAAGAAGTTTATTTAATCGCAACTCTTAACTAGGAAATTTTGTAACGTCGATTCTTTGAATGTTAATTTTTCTGAAAATCAATATTACTAAAATGTAAGCCAACGGAACTCTTAGCTATCATAGCGTACGTAAGTCGTAAAGGTATTTTTGGGTGTTCTATTTTGGAGAATCGGTCTATAAGAAAATGAACTAAGTGTTCTACCATTACTGATTTTATAGTGAAATTTCCCATACTTTTGTTTATCCTCCCTGTAATGCCGAGAGGCGAAATAACAATTGAATTTTGAAATCACAAAAAACGTGGATTGATGCCATATGCTCCAACTTCTATTTTTTTTTTCAACTTTTATCATTAGGTCAACTGATTGAATACTTGTACTTAATAACTTTATTTTTGTACAAGTATAATATTAAATTATTTTATTTTTCTTGTTCTTCTCTTCCAAGTTACTCCTCTTTCGTACGTAATTCAGTTTAAACATTTTATTGTCATCACAACCAATTTTTGTGTTTTGAAGACTATCTCGATCAAACGAACGACGTGCATCTATTGAATTGTAATACATTTCCTCATTTGTATTATGGACAGAAATGTGAGGGGGTGTTACATACTCTTCCCCTTGCAATATTTTCAGCTACCCTTCAAATATTGCTTTAATCAAAAGAAAATATTTACTCTTGAACTAGTGCATATGAAGAAAGATAGAAGAAAAGAATGAGAAAAAAGATGATTTGGAAAAGGAAAAGAGGGAAATAAAATCCATGTCCTAGCCAAGTACTCATCACTCGTCTTTATCTTCATCTTCGTCGTAATTGAAGGGTAGAGGCACAGACTTGAAAGCACGGTACTTGCCAACATTGTTCAAATGCTCATTCTCCAATCTGGAAGTTAGAAATGTAGCAATCAATTATCAGATAAATTAAACGTACTCTGGAAGTTATCCTCGTTTTCCCAAATGGTGCATTGAGTTGGAATACTAATTTCTAATGCACAAATTAAAGAAAATTTATCAGGCTAAGAGCTTAATGGTGCATTGATTTCATTATGTTTACCTGAAGAAGTTCCATATACCACGACGAATGATCTCTAGGCATGCAACAATGGTAGTCATGGCTTGTTTATGCAAGAAGCTGACGTTGAATCTCAAGACTGTCTGCAACCAGGCAAATCTCAACAAGACGTTAAGGACCTGCGCGGGTTCAATTTGTTAGCAATTTTCCAATTTAAAAAGCATAGAGAAACAACAACATCAATCATACATGCAAAAAAGGTTTGATAATTTCAAGCATAATTGTTATACCATGGCTATAAAATATACACTTTTATGAGGGATTGCGAGTTTGTCCCTCAACCAGCGGTTCTTGGAACGTCTTTGCAGAAGGCCCCAGTCTATTACAAGGTCCCAATATGTAGAAGCAACTGCTGCAAATATTGAGAAAACCCAGGCCAACACTTTCCACACCATTGAATTGTTCTGATTATGCGCTATCCTCAGGCAAACAGCAATAATTGTAAGGAAGTATTTCAATCCATTATATCCTTGCATTGGATCTTTCTCTTCGAACAGCCTCCTAAGACACTGCAACATATTCAACAACATTTAATTCAAAACTTCAAATTTTGTTCATCCCAGTTTCACCCCAGTATTTATGATGCCTAAATAAGGATAACAAGCAAATGAAGAAAGTAAAAAGCAATTTGGGGTGTCTAAATTTTAGGTTTTCGGTAAGATGACATTAGTCGCTAGTCACTTGAAAGAAAGTTAAAAGAAAGGGTGTTTCAGCTCTGCTTATATCTGTTTTACCTCCAACAAAACACTGTTCTAAAAGTTGAAAAAATTAAAAAGAAAATATGTAGTCACCTGCAGGAAACGGGACCAGTAGGGGATAACAGCCACGATGAATGAAAAGGTGAGGAATACGCTGCTAGAGTTGCAGGTGTTTTCTCTCTGTTTGAAATTACCCCACCCGTAGTAGCAAATGTAAAACTCAAAACTTCTCAAGGCTTGCACCTGAGTAATCAAAAGGGTATAATTGTTAGACATGGCAAAGAGCGTAAGAAAAGAATATTAATCCATGGTTTAAAGTTGGAAACAAACCTGGCTAGTAAATTGATCTGCCAAGAAAAAATCCGGGAGTGTGACCTGAAATACATGGAAAACAACAAGTGTTAGACTAGTTAGGAAATGCAATGACCTTGTGTTTGCAAGGATTTTCCTATACCTTGTAAAGAGGTGCACATATACAGTGAAATAGGCATATGAGGAGGAAAACCCTGCTTGAGCGATAAAAGATGTTTATGGGGCACAATAAAATAGCAATCAGAACCTGCAGAGTAACAACGAAATGAATGAGTGAATGAATTCATTATGTACTTGAGTACTCGTTAAAATATTGAATGGCAAAATCTTTCAAACATCAGCTCCTTACAAGAAGTAAGATGAGTGGAATGAGTTCGGTCAATGTTTGGTAATCTTTTGTCTGTGGATCTATCTGCATGTCTAGGTTTGCAAGCACACCACCCAGTGCCAACACTGCCAGACCAAAACCGATCAGAAGGACCTGGTTGTAGCCTAAGTCAGTTCCTGGCTTGAAGCCAAATATGAATGAGTGGTTCACTCTGTACCGCCTCCAGAAGTATATATCAGCAGCATACATCAGCAAGTGTAGAACTACGAATCCATACAGACTGCAAAAAACAAAGTTCAACAAGGTAGTAGTTTTAGTAAGATAGTTGTTTATTTTTCCCTATGCAGATGACTTACCTCCTGTATGTTTATTCTGGTGGGGGCTCTTGTACCAAAGCTACTAATTTTTCAAATGGGCTATTGTTAATCACGATGAGCTAGGGAATTTGGAAAAACTACCTATGCAGTGGGAACAAGGATTCCATGTACGTTGTACTCCCTGAATGATCCAATATTTTTCTGGTACGAACGATTAGAATAAGGGCTAACACCAGAGCTGCTGCGCATCCTGCTAAGAAACCTGAGAATAGGTTGACAGTGTCAACAGAAAGAAGAAACGAGAATCAAAATCTGTTTTCTTTTCACCCCCCAAATAATAAGATTTTAAATTATACATCAGTGCTTACCCATGGAAAACGTAACTCTGTGTCTTTCCCTCTTTGCTTTTGGTCTTAAGATATTCATGGCTTTATTACGATTTGAGTTGTAGAAGTGCTTAGTGAATGTTTTCTCAACCCTATCCATGAGTTTAGTCACCTGTCACGGGAATGTCAAGTAAAAACATCGAAAAACTAAAATAACAGTGTAAAAGGTTTTGCAATGTGTTCATCCCAACTTGATATGTGTATGTTAATTTTTACTATAGTTACATTAAAAATCATATTTTTTAATAATTTCTGATTAATTAATATCATACAAATTTTACACTGATTGGTGTATTGAAATGAAATTCATAAGAATATACTCTTTTAGCACTCTCACCTCATCAGAGTTTCCAAATTGGGTGTTGTCCACCGTTTTCATATACGCTTTAGCTGCATCTCTTGTTGTGATCTGCATAATGAATTTGCTATATGAAGTGGCAGCGGAGACAAGGTTGTCTGTTAAAAAACTAGACAGAGAAAAACGAAGAGAAGAGTGATCGAATTTCAACCTTATCGTATTTCTTCATTATCTTTGAAAATGCCAAAGTATTTAGAAAGCTGTTAATTTGATGAAAACAGTTAGATAATAATGACCGAGGAGTAACATGAAGCAGCTGAATTGAGTGGCTTCTTTCATTACCTAAAGCTCTTGAGAAGGCGAAGCTTGCGGTAGAATTCAATGAACGAGCGTTGAAGTTGTTCCTCAACTTTGTTAAGATTTTTTCTGCTGAAATGTAGTTCTGTCTGGCCTGGGAAATTGAGAACACCTTTTATAGTTGAACGTGGAGTTTCAAAGGTGTGGTTCAGTTGCACACGATCAAGTACTTCCAAAGGAGCTGGTCTAGTAACCCTCAGATTCTTTGGCTTCTTTTCCTCAACTTTTGGTTTAACAGTTTCTTTTACTTGTTCTTGATCATCCTCATTAGAATCATCTGATTGTTCATGATGAGTGCTACCCTCTTCAATAACTTCCATAATCATCGAAGCTTTTCCTGCAATCAGGATGATGCAAACACTTTCAATGACATTATTCTTCTTAAAGTCATTTTGTTTAAGCAAAAGTTTTTAATTTATAATCTTACATTATTGTCTGTATAAATTTTAAGATAGTTGCTACAAAAATTAATAATTTTATTATACATAACTGTTTATAATTAAATGACAATATAAAACTGTTTTACATTGTTAGTACACATTTTTTTTTTAATGTTTGAACTAAACATTCATTTCTTTATTCAAATAGTTAAGAAAACATAACTGAGAGGTTTTGATCAGTACTCTTTAAGATCACAAATATTATATTGATATATTTTATACCAGAAACAAAACCTTTAATCATTCAAGATTTCTTCAAATAAATCACGTATTAAAATACTTTATCCCATTAAAATAAAATAAAATAAATCACTATCGTTGATATAAACACGTGCAATCTTGCTGATAATTTCTGTTTCCACAACATAACCGCGTTGACCAAAAATATAAAAGCAAGCAGCGTATCGAACTAAAATTGCAAAAAGATAAGCAAGGATTAATTTAATAACAATGAATTCAGAACATTAAAAGGCTTTTATAACACAATTTAATATACTGATTACGTGTGATAAAATTGTCAACATTTATCACAATTATTCAACATAATTTTTAATCAGTTAATAATATATTTTTTATATTATATTTTGAAAAGGCTAAATCGATTAAAAAATTTCTGTAATAACTAAGCTAAGATAATTTTCAATTATTTTATTATGTAATATTAGTCATAAATTAAAATGCTAAATAAACATGAACTATTTATTCTGTAAGTTATTGTTATGAAAATATTATCTGAATAAAATTTTGTAAGTATGTTAAAACATAATAAAACCAATTCATACTTCTTTTTTTTATTGAGTTTTATCCGATATGGGACTTAAAGGAACTGCAGTGTAAGTTTAGTTCAATGTTTGGTGGGAAAGTTGAGGAGCAGATGAGGGGGGTGGATTGTTTAGTTTAGAAAGAAAGCAAGGAAGTTGAAGGGATGAAAAGAAATTACTGTTGAGTTTGGCCCCTCTGGGTGTGGAAGAAGAGAGAACGGCGGTAGAAGAAGCAACGTCGGAGGCAAGGCGAGTCATCTCGAGGGAGCGATGAAAGGAGGCAGTGGGGTTCTCAACTTTGATCCTGAAGGCGATCAAAGCGTCCATTTGCTTGTTCAGCATTGCAGCTTCCTTCATCACCTCCTCCACTTTCCCTCTGTAGAACTTCTCCACCTTGTTCAACTCGTCGTCCAGTCTCTTGAAGTACACCAACTCGTACTCCCCTCCTTCGTCCGAGCTCATCAGGAACGTCGTTTCGTACCTCTCCGATCCTCCCCGCTTCACCGTCTGCACCGCGATGTGCTGGCTCTCTATGTCAACGGAGGGACTCAGAGGGTGGTACTGTCTGTTTGTCAGACCACTGAAGGCTCTGTACAGCGTTAGCTTTCGCCTCAGTCCTCTCGGCGTCGCTGCAGGAGCTTTTCTGCTCTGTCTGAAACGCTGGACTTGCTTCAACTGGGATTTCAGAAAATTGTAATCCATGTATGCCTCTTGCCACTCCGGCACCATCTGTGCTTTGTATTCTTTTCCAAACTTCATTTTTGTGCTTCTGTTGCACCAGAAGCAAGTCAAATTTTTGGGATAGAAAACAGTTTAAAGCGAGAAAGCGAGAAAGCGAGAAAGGAAAGAATGGATAGAAAGCAAGAGAAGGAGCATAAAGATGACGATGGAAATGGTGAATGGTGGATGGTGTTATTTATACGATGAATAGGGTAAAAAAATGACGGTGTGTTTGTTTGAAAGAGTTGGTAGAATAGGCTGACTGATTCAACGCATGTTTGTGTAGTTGAACGACAGAACAGAAGAAAATGCAAAAAGGGACACAACACCTTTTGAGACCAAAGTGGAAAGTGAGTGCCTTCTCACTTGTCTTTAAGGTGCCCTACAAAGACAAATTGTTTCGGGTTTTCTAGGAAGAAGGGAAGAAAATACTTGCTTTTTGGTTCGGTCTTGCGCTCGTCAATTTTGGCTCACCATCGCTACTAAACTCTGTGAGTGTCTCTGTAACACTACGAGAGATCACCAGACATTATTGAAAGATAAGACCATGCGACACATCATTTTGTTACTTGATTCCTATATTTTAATTGGTATTATTTGTGACAACTACTATCGTAAATAAAATAATCTGAATATATAAAATAAGAATGGTTGACCGTGATCATTGGGCGATGGATGTGAAAATAAAAAAAATGATTTCTTCTCTAATTCAAATCTCAGTGCAGAAGATACTTGTGTACGATCAGACCAACACATGTACGTCTGAGTTTTCTTTAGCACTTCGTTATACTTTCTACTTTACTTTTTCTTTTATCTTATTTATATATATAATATAGAACGCCACTCTATTTAATGTTGTTATTTAATAACAAAGACTGAATGGTTAACATAAGAAACACACAAAAATGTTAAAGAACTAAAGAATTGGAAAAAATTTGTGACATGATAAAAAGTATACTCAGAAAGAACGGAAAGGTATTTGTTAATCAGTATTTTGTTATTAGCTGAGCTTAATGATTTTTTAAACTCATCTTTTATACATAGAAGAATGAAAATGAAAAGTTGAATGCAGTGTTTGGCGGATAAGATTTAATACAGTGCTTAAATAGTTTTAAAAGTGGATAGGGTTGTTGCACCGAATAGACGCTCCAACGTTAGCCTCTGGTCTTGTTGTTCCACTTTCTGGTAATGGTTTTTCTCTACATAGCAGGCTTAGGTATTAATGACCCTATGATGTATTATGCAGATCCCTTGTATACTTTTTTTTTTTTAAAAATATGACGATAAAAAAATTAATATTGATTATTGGTACGAGCAAAAATTTCAAAAATTTATTTAAGTTCATAGTTGTATAAAATTTTTAAAAATGCACCACCTTTTGAGTTTTTTTAAATCATTAAACAATTTTAAAAACTTTTTATAATAGTGTTCATACAATAAAGTGTGTCGCTCATTTTCTTAAAACAAAAACTGATCCAATATAAATAATTACAACCCACATGTTTAAATTAAAGTTAAAATAACAACAAATCATGTATTAAACATGTAGGTTTTTATTAAAAATTATAAAAATCTTCATAACTTCAAACCAAACACTATTCTTCTACGATCATAATTTAGTTTGGAACGGGTTTGAAATAATTTGACATCCTTTTCTTGTAGTTTTATCTAAAAACATATTTACCAAACAAATGTTTTATCCAAAAATTGATTGAAACTTCTAAAAAAAAAACACATTGCTGACTTTTACAGTTTTCTGAATCATCCTTGACTGATACTTCTATTTTTGTGAAAGCAGAGTTAATTATGTATAATCATACACTTAATCTAACGTGTTAATGGCCTGATGCATACTTAAAAACAATTATATCTTGATTTCAAGATTATGGTTCAAAATTAGCGTACAGTGATCATATTATCAGATCCGATATTGTAAATCTAATTTAATCCAAACCCTACGTATTGATTTATATATATTTTCAAATCTAATCATTTTACTCTCTTTTTTCTCATTAATCCTATTTTTGTGAATTTTTAAGAAGTGAAATATATTACATGAAGTTTTATTATTTTTATAAATCTTGTATAAATACTAGTATTTTAGTCTGTGTACAGGATGACTACTTATTTTACATAACTAAAATTACTATTTAAACATATAAATTATATAATAAATAAACATTTTCAACCAAATAAATTTTATTTTAAATTTGTGATAAATATATCATATCATACAAAGTTAGTTTCATCACTGATAACCTTTTGTTTTTTAATTTATTTTAAAAAAATTATTGAAGAAAATAAAAAGTCAAGAAAATATTTGAAAAGGTTTGACAAAACCCAACTCGAACGAGTACAAGTAATAAGCCTAATTTTGTTGTGAATTATTCAAAAAGTTTGACAAAGTAACAGTGTTTGATGAATATCAAAGTTGGAGAAAAGTTCTTACACGACGAGGAAGGAATTTGGGTGTTGAATGAAATTTTCATTTAAATAGGTTCTTGAATTGTAACTCTATTATCACATTTGTATCCGAAAGGTTGTTGGTAAAAATTAAAGGTTTGTTAGTAGCAATTAAAGAGATAGTTGGATTCTTTCAATTGGTAAAAGTTTCTAATTCAGTTTAGCAAAAAAGTTAAGGTGTGTTCAAAATTGTCAACTAATTAAAACTCCTTAATTCTTATGAAACAATTTCAAAGCTTTTTGAGAGAAAAAGGGTAATATCAGAATTAAACAGATTGAATCAAAATCAGGGCACCATTAAATTCAAATTGTCCAATTTAATTAAACGATGAAATTTGAAGCAATGTTAGCTCAGAAATTAAACACACTGCTTGATCGAAATAAAATAAAACACACTGATTAAAAAATAAAAATAATTAGATACAACATCCTTTTTCAAATGTAAAAGAAAAACAGTCAATGAATTAGTTCAAATTTTATTTTATTCAACTCCATCCAAATCCAAACAACGGTTTAATTAATTAATTAATTATATTGCTTTGTTCATCTATGACGTATTACTGAAAAAAAAAACAATTAAATTAAATAAATAAACAAGATAGTACATTTCAAAAGCTACAGAAATACGTGTATAAGCTATAAAATATGTTGCATGATTTTTCTTAATCAGGGCTGCTATCTTCACCATACAAAATAACCCATGAATATCAATCAATCATTATATACAATGCATCTGCATTCTCATGCAAATAAATTTTAGTGATTTCATTTCATTTCTTAAATCACTATTAAAATTGTTTATATTTAGCAGAATTTTCCCTACTAATGTTCCGTGAGACTTCGTAAAACGGCAGAAAATTACTCCAAATTCATTTTTTACGAATTTGACTTCAAACAATTTTGATAGAGTCCTTATTGTAATTTTTAATATTTGTTCATATACTTCCAAAGAATGTATTTATTCCCTCACTCGTGAGATCAGATGGATACATTCTTGATTTATTCAGTCGCTATCACAATTATTATATTTATGAACAATACAAATTATAATTTTCTTCTCAACAGTATTTCTTACATACTCTCATTTCATTGACTATTTCTTTTAGTTTAAAATAATAATATTTAATGATCTTAAATTTCTTAATATTTAATAACTCAAATTCACACCTTAGAGTTTGAAGATTAATGATGTTTATCTCTATACTTCCTTCAAACTCCTCCAGTGGTATGTCCCGTACCTCAGATCCTTGTGACATTCATTATTCTAGAAAAAATTGTACAAATGTTTATTTTCTTTCAACTCATAAACTTTATTAAGGTTTTATTAACTTTCAGAGAATAAAAAATGCCTCCACATGTTATATTAAATCAGAATTTTCTGAAACTTATCTTTTCAGGTATGACACGACTGAAGAAACCTAATTTATGACTCAGAAGTTACATAGTTTGATAGAGATGAAAATCTAAATGAACCTGTGCTTGCTGTTCCTGAAAAATCACTCATCCTTATCTCCATCTTCATCATCATCATCGTCGTAGTTGAAGGGTAGAGGCACAGACTTGAATGCACGGTACTTGCCAACATTGTTCAAATGCTCATTCTCCACCCTGAACCACGTAAATGGAAGAATGAAAATGAAGCTTTGAAATAAAGTTCGAGTAAAATCTTTTTCCTTTGTGCCATGCGAAAACAGAACTACACCAAAATGTTCTTTTCCTTTTGGTTACCTAAAGAAGTTCCACATGCCACGACGAATGATCTCTAAGCTGGCAACAATGCTGATCATGGCTTGTCTATGCAAGAAGGAGAATTTTAAATTCAATATTGTTTGTAACCATGCAAACCTTAACAAGACATTCAGCACCTGTGTATGGTTTCAACAAATCATTAACTTACACAAATAAAACACTAAAAATGTAATTCATATTGTCTAATGAAAATGATATATTGTTGGAAATATAAGTATGAGTCTAATAGTCCTGTATTGAATAAAAATAAGAAAGTTTAGTAACATATATAAAAATAATTTATTGTCTTGAAGTTTTGGATTGGAGTTGGTGGTAATTTCTTATGTGAGTTAGACTCATGTCTTATAATAGCAGCAGTTCTCAGAAGAAAAGCGGAAATTCAAGATTAAAATCTTAGAAAATGTCCAAGTAGAATAAATTTTTGTTCCCGTTGTTAATTTCATACCATAGCTGCGAAATATACACTTTTCTGAGGGACCAGGAGTTTGTCTCTGAGCCATCGGTTCCTGGAATGTCTTTGGAGGAGGCCCCAATCTATGACTATGTCCCAATATGTGGAAAAAATGGCTGTGGATATTGAGAATATCCAGGCCATCACTTTCCAACGCGTTCCTCCATCAAGAGTATCAGCTGTTCTGAGGCAAACGGCTGCAATAGTGAGGAAATACTTCAACCCGTTATATCCTTGCATCATATCTTTCTCCTCGAACAGGCGCCTTAGGCACTGACATGAGAAAGAAGAAGATCATTTGACAGTCTCAATCATTTCTTAATCAAAAGCATGCACATTTACTTTCAAAATCAAGGGCATGTTTCAATAAACAGCTTAAGTTAACTCTTATTTCATTTTAGGATAAACTTTTCCATGAGCACTCACACAGGAAAACGTATCTATGAATCTTGTCGGAATCAGCGAAAAAGAACCTATAAGAGGGTCGTAGTTGTCAAAAACATAACCCAACACTTTTAATTAATTCCCAACACAGTTGCTTATGTGATAGAAACCCTTCCAAATGCTCCATGTGTACCTTGTTTCTATGACTGAAAGCTACAATGTGTGCGGAGGAAAATGGAATGAAGTGAGTACCTGAAGAAAGCGAGACCAATATGGAATCACAGCGACAATGAATGAGAAAGCTATGAATACCCTTCTTGACTT